GTGTATGTGTGTCTGTGTGTGTGTGTGGTGCAGGTGTGCACTCTTGGAAGCCAGAGGAGGATGTGAGATGTTCTCTATCACTCTGTTTTATTCTCTTGACATGGGTTCTCCCTGAATGTGGAGCTAGGCATATGCCTATAATCTCAGCAATCCTCCTGTCTCCTCCCTCACAGTTCTTGGGCTACAGGTGCATGCTACCATGGCTGGCTTTTATGTAAGCACTGGAGATTCAAATTCAGGTCCTTGTACAGCAAGCACACCAATCTACCGAGCCATTTCCCAGCCTACATATGCATTTAGTTTTACAGAGCTAGTATATAGGAAATATTCAATGAGTTTTTATTGTTTTACTTATAATGATATTAATGAAAGCTCACTAGGAATCCAAGTTCATATTTTCTTACACAAGATAAAGTCAGACTGACACTCCTTAGAAGTAACATGGGAACAAAATGTGAGGAATGCCCTGTAGTTCATAATATACTCGTCTTCAAATGTTTTCTTTTTGTTTTTGTTTTTTAGAGACAGGCTTTCTCTGTGTAGCCCTGGCTCTCCTGGAACTCATTCTATAGAACAGGATGGCCTCAAGCTCATAAGAGATTCACCTGCCTCTTCCTCCTGAGTTCTGGGATTAAAGGCATGTACCACAACTGCCCAGCACACATGTCTAAATTTTAAAAAGTAAATTGTATGTATGTGGGGGATTACAGGGTATTTTCTGTATCATGGTATGAATACATAAGTAAAAGAGCCCAAGGAGGCCAGGAGAGGGGGTTCAGATCCCTTCGAGCTGAAGTTACAGGTGGTTGTGAACTTCCTGGGAGCTGGGAACCAAACTCTGGCCCTCCACAAGAGCAGCAACAGCTCTGAACCCTCCAGGTCTCTCTCTAGCCCCAAAATTTATAGTGCACTTTTATAAGATGTCATGTAGTGACTCTTAAGCCTCAACCAGAGGTTTTCTAGCTGGCTTGATTCAGGCTCTCTCTTTAAAGCAGAGTGGCCCCTTTACTGCTTTATCGGGGGAGAAACCACCACCACCGTTTCCCAAACATCTGGAGTCTCGCTGTCCATTCATTCACTCCTAAGTCATTCGCTCTCCATTCATTCACTCTGAATTCATTCGCTCTCCATTCAATCATTCTCAACTCGTTCACTCTCTGTTCATTCAGCATGAAGACTGAAGGCAGTTACCTGCCTCTCAGGATGTAATATAAGCGATGGGAACATGGTGTCACCAATGTCTTTACCTCCCTAATTTTTGCTCTGAAACATAGCAAACCAAACACATACAACAAGCCAGGAGCACATGAAATAGACAGTGCAGGCAGTCATAGACAAGGGTAGAAAAATGCCCCTCAGAAAGCAAGTCATTTTTTTTGAAGTTTTAAAATCTGTGCATCACATATTGCAAAAGAAAACTTCAACCAACTACCCAATCAAAACAGAGAGACAGCGTCCGCTTGGGGCTTCCTCGCGTTCTCCTTCCCGCCTTCTGTATGCAACTCTTCCTATTGTCCCAAGGGACAAACTTAACAGAATTTTTAAAAATTATTCTTCAGAGGATATGGTATAAAAGGATTGCAGAAGCCATGTTGGTTATGGCACCTTAAGGCATACTTTCTGGATCGGACTCTGAGCTATTACAAAATAGCATAGTTCAACTGTATTTAAGTGAAGTTTTACAGGGTTTCTCAGAGAATTAAAATCAGAAGTAAATATCCAAAAGTAGTCTATATATAACTGAGTTTAAAGAAACCCTGGTGGCAGACTCATAGACACAGCAACAGGATTCCCCTTCCTTTTTTGCTTTCAGTCTCCCTAAATAGAGGCTTGATTTTTTTTTCTTTTCCCTTCCCCACCCCCAGCAAATTGGCTTCCTCTAAATGACAGAAGCATGGCTATTGTTGATATGCTGACTTTATATTTAGAGCTTTAACCACACCAAGCAAGGCTGTGCTTTTCAGTACCAATTCCTAAATCCTGGAGAAAAATTCAAACAGGTCTAGCTTGGATCATATTAAAGAATTAGCATATGATTTGGGTCCATTTGAACAAGGTGTCTGACCAACCCTGAATCCCAGCTGTCTCACACTGTTAATGAGTTGTTTCTGTGATTTCAACAGGCTGGGTGTGTCAGCTCTACACAGAGGCAGTGTCGGCATGGCCATTGGTGCGTGACTACTGTTTTATGGGTAGTCTGTGTAAACAATGCAGAAAAGTGGGTGATTCTAGAGTCCCATTTACCATCTAAAGTGCCTAGAGTCTCCTAGAGCCTCCAGTTAAAACTGTTTGTGTATTGTTATAAAGCTCAGTGATAGGACAAGGTTACCGCACATAGAAGGAGCTGAGCAGAGAAAGGAGAAGGGTGCATCAGTGAAACTTTACCAACATGAAGCAGAGGGCTCTGGGCACTCCAGTTCCTTACAGATTAAACACTTATGTTTCTCCCACTGCCTCTCTGTTCCCTCCTGCTTTACGCCTCTTTTTAATATTTTCTTCCATCACTTTTAAAATGAAGTCCTTGTGAGTTACTTATGAGACAGTCCTCTTCCAGAGAAGTCATGCTGTACTTGAGATAAAACTCTAAAGTAAGACAAAGGTTCTCATGTTCTCTTGTTCTTTTCTTAAGATCACAGAATCTGAGGACTGAAAAAGACCAACTTTTTCAGAATCATCAAGCCCACCCATTGCCAAATCTCACCTCTGGTATCCTTGACAAGAGGAATCTGATCATTTGTCAAAGTAGAACCTACTGCTTTTCAGGAAAAGCCATTCTATCTTTGGACAATTATTCCTATTAGATGTGCTTCTTTCAATAAATTCCAACTGGCAGAAATCTGTCTTCCTTTGCTGCTCCCACCTCTTAGTGCCAGTATCATCCCCACATGCCTTTCAAGAGAACAGCCATGCTTACTGCATTTCTGCTTAAGACTGTTACCTAGGTTCAGCATCTTTTCTAATTATTCTCTGTTTCTGTAATATAGGACATCAAGTCCACCATTACCCTGAACACTTTGTTTTTAAAAGGTTTCTTATGTGTTCCTCTTAATTTTCCCTTCACATCTACTAATAATTTTTCAGATATGAAAAGATATGCACAGAAAAAACAAAACTAGTGACTGCTCTCATTATAGCTGTAGAACTTATCATCACATGGTATCTAGTGGGGAGAGCAAACCTGTATGCTCATGCTCAAGAGTGGAAAGTAATTCAGTTGAATTACCTTTAAATGCAGAAAATGTATTTAAGTTTTATAAGTGTGTTGCTGGAGTGGGGCTTGGGGAGGTGTTGATGTGAAAATGCAGGCATCAGTAGTTAAAATTGGGATGAAATAGGATGTGACAATTTACAAATTCTTTTTTTAACATTTATTTATTTATTTATTTATTTATTTATTTATTTATTTATTTATTTATTTTCGTTTATTCACTTTGTATCCCAGCTATAGCCCCCTCCCTCATCCCCTTCTAATCCCACCCTCCTTTCCTCTTCTCTTCCCATGTCCCTCCCCCAATCCATTGATAGAGGAGGTCCTCCTCCCCTTCCATCTGACCCCTAGCCTATCAGGTCTCATCAGGAATGGATGCACTGTCTTCCTCTGTGGTCTGGCAAGGCTGCTTCCTACTCAGGGGGAGGTGATCAAAGAGCTCATTTCAGAGTTCATTTCAGAAAGAGTCCCTGTTCTCATTACTAGGGAACCCACTTGGAGACTGAGCTGCCATGGGCTACATCTGTGCAGGGGTTCTATGTTATCTCCACGAATGGTCCTTGGTTGGAGTATCAATCTCAGAAAAGACCCCTGTGCCCAGCTTTTTGTTTGTTTGTTTGTTTGTTTGTTTTTAGTTCTGTTGTTCTCCTTGTGGAATTCCTGTCTCCTCCAGCTCTTTCATCTCCCCCTTTTTTCTTCAAATTGAGTTTTCTTTATTTCCAATCATAATATTCATATACTCTATTAAAACAGTGGGCAGAGTGATCCTGTATCAGGCATCATACTTTTGTTAAATGCACAGAAAGGAATCTGAGGTAGGATCCCAAAAAACAATCAAAGAAAAAGCAGACTCAACTTCAGGAAGTCAGAGTGAAGCTTGGAATCATTCAGATGAGATTCTGTCCCATGTCAAATGAGTATCCTAAAACAGAGACATAAAGGTCTCTGCCCTTATTTGTGGCCACTTATGAACTCATCAAGAAGATGGATTACTTTGGAAAATAGAGCAAGATGTTCTACTTATTTAAGTGCAAAATGAAAAGGAAGATCTGGTGTGTCTATTAAATTTCGTAGTAGAATTTAAATGTTTGACTCCTAAAATCTAATAAGAAAAAGTAGTGAGTTTTGGTCAATCAGAAACATTTGACAGTCGTTCTGCAAAATTTATTTTTCTCTAAATGAGTTACCACAGTACCCTCAGTGCTGACATCATGGGACTCCAACTCTTTCTCCCAAGATCTACATAACCCTGAACCTAGACCTCCTCAAAGTTTTTCCTCTCCTGCTAAGGAGCTTCAGAAATATGCATAACAAACTAAAGATGGACTGGGAGAACTAACCTCACAGGCTCAGAACTAATTAGCAAAATGAAAATTAAAGGTTATATTACCTTGCTGTCCTCACAAAGGTTCAATCCACCACATTTGGGTATAACCCTAATCCCATTTGGCTCTTAAAATGGAGGGAAAACAAGACCTCAGATAGTTTGAAGTGAACTACAACACAGAGAAAAGAAGAATCCTTTAGAGTGAGGAGAGTCAGGCTTCTCTATGAGGTAGAGCTCTGGGGCCATGCTTCTCGGCTTACTTAGGGTGTTCCAGACTCAGAATCACCTAGCCATCTTCTTAGTGTCCTTAGGATGTAGACACAGGGTTCTTCCTTCCACTCTAGAACTGCAAATGTCATAATTGGTGTGCTAGATTGGATAATCATGTTTTTAATTCAAAAACAAAAGCAGAATTACCTTATGTCACTTTCCTTACTTACACAAAACATTTTATTTTTCCAATAGGTTTCTTGGCTTTTACAAGGGAATTGTCCCACCCATTCTGGCTGAAACACCAAAAAGAGCAGTCAAGGTGAGTGCCATGTGCTTCCACCAAATGTACACAGAGTGAGACTGCAGCTTCCGTGTCAAGACACTCACGGTAATCAAGAGAGCATTAATGCCACTCAACACAAAACACTAAAAACTTCAATACAGAAACCATAGCACAATTCTTCTTATAAGATTTGATCAGTCTCTTAAATATGCATATGTTTGTGAAGTTTTTTTTTCCAGGCATAGGTGCTTTCTTATACTAAGGAAATTGCAAATACACACACACACACACACACACACACACACACACGTCTGAAACTCATGTAATTAGTCACAACCCCCACAAAATTGCTTGGATCTTTTTCTCAAGCAATTCAGAAATGTTCCTTTGGAGCAATGAATGTTAAAGCAAAAGAAGTAGGAAATCACGTCTGGAATCATTTCTGTCTTATGAAGTATACTATTTATTTGCGTATGAGTCTTACATACTCTTTTTAACAAGTCAACTTTATTTCTCCCTTTAGTATCTTCTGCTAAAATTCTCCTTTTGGTGATTAAAATTACTATTTCCATTTCTTTAATGTATAACTCTGGAGGTTTATAACTGGCTGGTTCAGTGTGTGACTATGAATGTGTGCCAGACCCTCGAAGGATAAAAGACCTGCACACTGTTTCCCATGTGTTCTTTCAGGAAGAAATCCTAATTGCAGTAGCTCTAACGGGTATGGCCTTCCCACCCACCCCCGTCACTGACATCACCAAATATGGCTTTGTCTTTTTATAAAAATAGCATAAACATGGATGTAAAGACTTCCTTTCCTACTTTATTCCATTAATTTTAATGGCATAAAGGTTTTTCACATTCTCAATTTCTATCCCCAATATTCCTGAAAACCAAGAAGAAACAGCTCACATGCTGTTATTGAGTAAGTCAAGGGGGGTGGCTGGGTTTTAAAACATGATGAAATAACCAACATACATATACAAACATCAAACTTTTGCATTATGTCAAATGGTAACGTAATAGAATTTAAGTTCAGGTCTTGAGTTCAGAAAAGAAAGCTTTAAACATACTTTCCCTATAAACGTGTCTCCTTTGTTGCTGTAGTTTCTTGCTTTCATATTATTGCTTCAATACAAATTTCATTATAAGGATCTGAATCGCAGTAGAGGGTCTGGAAAAAAGTTCACCAAAGTACACAAAAGGGCTGAATTGAATTATGAAACGGCTTCATTTGATAAAAGATTGCCCAAGTAAACAAACACAGCAGAGTTCCTGTTCAAAAGGAAAGTCACTTTGTCTCCCTAGAATAATATATTCATTTGTTCAGTGTTTCCCATGTATAAATAAAGTAAATTGTAATTAGGCCCCTTCCTGCAGTCGTTTCCCTTAATGCTTGCTATATATTGCAGACAATTTACACTTTAAGAGGATTATGTTTTATCAATGTTGAACAATCTTTTACAAAAGGAGAAGAAAATAAAAACCTTGAGCTTTATAAAACTGAGTTAGTTTTCTGGGAGGGGGGAAAAGCATTGCTTCATGCCAGAACAATGGCTTACAGATGAACTGTTGGGCAACTGGATATGCGGGGGATGTGTCCCAGACATCTTGCTGCAAGTAGATTTTACCTTAAAATTATTGAGACATATGGTAAGTACATTGGCTTTTTAAGTAGAACTTTTAGTGAAGTGTATCTTTGCCAGATGGACAACACTAGTTTTTCAACACAATTTATGAAAACATTCATTTTATAGATATCTATCTTAGGATTTGTGAGGAAAGCAATCACCTGATTGTAACAATTTCATACTTCGTGAACTATTTTATTGTATATCATCGGAGGTTGCCTCAGAATAAAATATTTAAAAATGTGTGAGGGTGTGCCTACATGCATCCGCCATGTATGTATGTGTTCCTTAGATGGACACTTTAGCTCCAACTGAAACCATAACCAGAAACAGGCAACGTTATGCTTATCTGCACTTTATTGTTTGAAATGAGGTTCATCATTAAAATAATAAGACTTGTAAATAAATTAAATTCCTCTTTTCAAAAATTAAAACAGACTCAAACTGCAATCAACAGACAGAAGTGAAGACTTAGGCCCCGGGGAGATGGAAGCAGCATATTCTGGCTTCTAGAGTCTTCTAGTCAGTGTTGCAAAGCCAGAAATGCAATTGTTTTCTATGTTCAAGTTTCGCAAGACTCTTTACCCTGACCAAACTCATGCGAGGTTATAAAGTGTGAAGGCTGCTTGCTCTTGTGCTTCTATACCTACTGCGATATCTACACATAGTTGATGTATAAATGAATAAATAAAACAGGAAGAAATTTATAGGGAAAAAGGCTTATATATGGAGATGATCTCTTCCATTTCTCCAAATCCCCACATTTACTATTCAAAGTATCTTGAGGGCCACAACTTCCACTTCTTGTCAAGATGTAGTAACAGGACCAAATCTACCCTCCCACATGAGCAACACCAGGAATAGTAACAGCAGACAAAGTACATGAAATAACAGTTTTATCTTCAAGACACTGACATCGCACAGTGAAGGACAATGATATCTGGGAGAGGGGAGACCAACAAGATGAACTCTGTGAATGTCCCAGAGTAGGGCCAGGAGAGGGTTTCTAGGCCCTCAGTAAGGAGGGAAATAAAGGTGGAGCCTGGTAGATTCCCTGAGTCAAGAAGATCAGACTCTAGAAGTAGTAAGGGAGCTGACAGGGAAGAGAGATAGAGACAGAGACAGAGAGAAACAGACAGACAGAGAGAGACAAGAGATCTTCAGAGAAACTCCCTCAAGTATTCAGCAGTGTAAGTCTATGAGAGAACTCCTACCACCCAGGAAACAACCATCTGAAAGGATTACAGGATCAGAGCTTGATAGTTCGCAGGGTTAGGAATGGTCCCCGTGTCCGCCAGCTAGTCTGGAAAACCCCCATGTTCAGTGAGAAGGCTCTCGCTCTAAGAGTAGAGATGAGTATTGCAGTGAGCACTTCTCAGGCCCCATTTGTTGGAAGCAGGTTTCAAACAGCTCTCACATAACTCAACTGTGTCCAAGCACAGAGTATCTAGGATGTTAGGTTTCTCAATGAGTGTGTAATGAGCATGGTTTGAAAATGAAGAAAAAGACAGAGACGAAAAACCAAAGAATACAATTGTCCCCAGGTGTACACTTGGAGACCCTTGTGATAGCGTTATGGGCTGAATCCATGTCCCTAGACGACTCCTTGTCATCCAAGCTTTGTCTTTAATCTTTGAAATAACAGAAATCCAGATAGGTTTAAAAAAAAAAAAGGCAAACAAGAAGAAATGCATCTCACACAGTAAATTACTAAGGTGGTAGAAAGTTCCACAAGGCCCATCACCTCCTAAAACGTTCAGGCCCCAACGCCAGCATGGAGAATTGTTTCCAAAATGGTACATGGGGCAGGACACCAGCAGGACTGCAATGTGATGATGCCCTTGAGTACATGTTAGCCTCTTTTTTTTAACCCAGAGATTGAACTCAGGGCATTACATAGCTAGGAAAGCACACCCACCCACTACTCCTGAGGTACAGCCACAGTCCAAACCCTACCCAGGTGGTTCTCTGTGGGTTGCAATCCCCTTGGGGTCAAAGGACCCTTCCACAAGGGTCACCGAAGACCATTTGCGAAATGCAAAGACTTACATTACAATTGAGAACAGTAGCAAAATTACAGTTATGAAGTCGCAATGAAAATAATTTATGGTTGGAGGTCACCCCAACATGAGGAACTGTATTAAAGGGTCGCAGCATTAGGAAGCTCGAGAATCACATCCCTGCGCTCTTTTCTGTTAAAATTGTCAAATGGACTTACGACAGTAGCACCTGCAAGGTCTCAGTATGTTTCTGGATTCTAGTAGACTTTCATAATTTAGGTACCAGTGAGTCCTTCTGTTAACATAAATAAAGATAAGCAGGAACGAATTTTTTCCTGAGTCTTGTGTTCGCGCAGCCTACTTGAATTCTACTTCCTGACAACTCCGATAGCCAAGGTTCTTGCAGTTGGTTGCTCGGACAGGTAAAGCAATGTTCTCATGCTTTCACAGTGAAGTAGCATGGCCAGGCTTCACCACTCACTTCAAAACCCTGGCAAAGCAATTGTCCAAACACAATGATGGTGAGAATAATCATTTGAAAAAGTAAATGTCCTTTAAAGTCTAACATTAAAGTCAAACGGGTCGCTCACACCCATAATCCCAACACTCAAAAGGCTGAGGAAGGAGGGTTTCCATGCGGTCCAATGCCTCAAAGGCTGCAATGGAGAGTTCCAGCTTGGGTTACGTAATGAGACTTTGTCTCAAAGAAACAAACAAACAAACAGAAGCCTAAGACTACTACTTTTTCTTCTACAATGAATGCTGGGGTTTTTAATGTGTCTCTCATTGAAACAATGGTGCCTGCTGTGTAAGATCAGGATAGCAGGGATGTGTGCTACGTTTACTGTCTTTCTAGTGCCTAGAATGGGAGGGATCTAATAAACATTCAGTAATTGAATGAACAAACCTTTTTTCTAGAAAAGTCTATATCCATACTTCATCTAAAATATTGTGGCAATGATCTCATTCTTTAAAAGAATAAGAAGAGAAATAAGAAATAAGAAAAGAATAAGAAGAGTCAATTTGCTGGTAAATAACTCTTGGGTTTTTTCATAGACTCCAGAGGCCATTTACATAAGAAACCACCTGTTTCTAACAATAGACTGTAACAAGTCCCCAAAACTTTTTTTTTCTTTACCTTGTTCTATTTTACTAGGCTATAAAGTAATAGCATGATTTATCATCCCTTTTCTTGGCTCTTAAAAATTGGACACTGCAGGTCCTAAGAATATACCTTAATATCATTGATGTTGATGGTAGCCCAGCCCAGTACTCAGGCCCATAATACCCTTCCCAAGCAAAGTTTGTTTCTCAAAATAACGGGGCGGAGGGAGAAATGTATTATGTGAAGGACTTATTTCATTTTGCCCTGATAAACAATGTGTTCATACAACTCAGTATCATCCTCTGAAGGTACCAATGATGTCATTATGTTAATGATCCCTGTTCTTATCTGTCATCATCTTTTTCAGATGCTAAAGGAGGAAATAGGTCAAGGAAGTCTTTCTTTGAGGCAAAGACTAGAACGTGATGTGTCCTTTCCTAGTTTATCGCAGCATCTTTTCAATCACTTAATGTTTAAAAATTCCATGGTGCTCTCAGGAGAACAAGCATTATCCACTCAAGTTACGGCTGAAAAGTGGATGTCTTTTACAAGTGTGCTAGAAAATGGGGCATTTTCTTAGAAAGTGGTTGGTAGAGAAAACATACAAGACCAAGCATTTTGGGTCTGTGAGGCTATGATTTTGAATCCATGCCATAAGAAAGAAGTCTATTGATGTCTGGGGAAACCAAAAATGGTCATGGTAAATGGAAGTTGTATGGTTCATTTACTGCTATAAGGGATTCCATCAGATTTTCTGTAAGTTATTACAACTACATTTGAAAAATGTGAATGTTAAAATGGGATCTAATAGCAACTACCCCAGACAGGATTAAAAGCTGTGTTCGATGGTTCATCATTTTAAAATGCTGATTAATAGAATGATTTACTGAGGGACTTTTAGCCAATTAGAGAGTTTGTTGCAGGAAATTGTTATAAATCTCTAGGTTTGGTTTTGTTTCACAGTTTTCCACCTTTGAGCAGTACAAGAAATTGCTGGAGTATATGTCACTATCACCAGGGCTGGTAAGTGAGAATATTTATTATACTTAAGTGTGTATGTTATTTCATAAAGCAAAATCTAGGGACAAAAACCCTTTTGATTCCCAAATCCCAGCTACTAAAATATGAATTTGAGTTATTCAATGTTCAGCTACTTGTTGAAAGCCATCTTCATAATAACTCACAATCTGGCTATTTTATAGCTCTCAGTGAGGAATTCATGATAATAATGCTATGTCTGGAAAGGCCTCTATGAGATGCGGTCAAGAATATAAAATAAAGACCGCCGTCTCCGTTGGAAACCAAAACATGTACTTGTTTACTTACGCACTGCAGGCATCTATTTATGCAACAGTCAATATGCCTGAGATTATTTCCCAACAGGTCAGTCTCCCAGCTACTGCAAAAGCTGCAGCAAGTATAGGACCTCGAGTCACTCGGGCTACACTAACTCTGTGGTCAGAGGCAGACTGAAGGGCCTTTTATTGGAACGACTGTAAACAGCCCAGCAGGGGAGAATGGTGATCCTACAATGACACGGCTCAGGTGTTTAACAAAGCTCACTCCGTACTGGCCATTGCCCCGTGCCATTTCTCCCTGCCTGTTGACTTTGCTCCCTTTCATAAAGCAAGTTAAATTATATTGACCAAATGTGTGTGCACTGAGGGCCACAGAGAGAGCAACTGAATGAACCCCTCACTATCCCCCATGACTCCAAATCTGCAAAAGAAAAGTCGATATAGTGCATCATTGCTCTGCATGGAGACGTACCTTCCAGCCTCGAGGAAAAGCCCTGTTTGGCTGCTAAAACCTCAAAATTCCACTGGAAAAGTAATGTTCTTGCCTCCAGCTCTTTAATTATAGACATCTCTCCACATATAGTAGTGTAACAGCTGACTAAAGCTATGTGAGCTAAAGGTTTGTTTCAGAATATGTACTCTAACAAACAGACTGTCAAAGAAGTATTTCTCGTCCTCTAAATTCTTACACGTTCACTTTCTGGAGAGGACCCCTTTCCACCCTCCTGATGAAGCAGTGTAGCTATGAGGAGCACTCTCCTAGAAAGAAGCACTTGTGCCAGGAATCTCAAATAGATACTATTTTGTTCTAAATTCCATGCCTGGTGTGGTGGCTCATACCTTATAGCCCAGCGCACAGAAGATAGAGGCAGGACAATGAATCCCTGTAAGTACAAGGTGAACCTGGTCTACATAGTGACGTCCAGAACGGCTAGAGGTACCTGGGGAGAGCCTGTCTCAAAAACAAAGTATATGTATGTGTGTGCATGCATGTGTGTGTGTGTGTGTGTGTGTGTGTGTGTGTGTAATTTTTTCATAGCATCTTTCTTAAAATCATTCTTAATTTTGGAAACATCTTGAGAAAAAGAGGATTAAGGACTTCCTAGTAGGAATAAATAAAATACGGCCTCTGAAAAACTGGCTGGCTGTTTCAGAGCTGCGCACGGGTACCAGGCGAGACGCTGCAGGTCTTCTGACCCAAGATTTAAAGCAGAAAAGCACTTGGCCACTCCAGCTACCATAAATGAATTCATGTAAGCCATATATGGTCCTCTTCTTTCCTTGAACTCATTTGCTCCAGATCCTTGTTTTGATACAGTGAGGCATTTAGCCGTTAAATATGCCCTGGTGCTCACATGAAAGCCAGGGACACTGGAGACCCGACAGCAAAGGCATGTCTCTGCAACAATCTAAGAAACGTGATCTGCTGATGTCCGATCAATTCTTCTGACAAGAGATTGCTGAGCACTAGTTATAACAACAAATGTAGCTGAGCTTTGTAGAGGAACAAAAAAGTGAGTTGCTTGGAAGGTCGCATACAGTGAGTAATGAAAACCTAACATCTGGATTTTAGCTTTCCCAGTCAGACGAGTTTGAGACTGGTTACTTTTCTTCCTCCTCACTTTTTTTTACTCCATGATGGAAGTTTGAGATAAATGAGAAAATATTTGGTCAGTTACCCTATACAAATTATGCTTAAAATTGTAATGAAGTGGGATAATGGAAAACATCATTAGTACTCCTTCTCTCCTTGAATCTGTGTGCAACTCCATTCTTCCTCTTTTTCATGGGAAACAAGAGCAGTCGTGTTTGGAAAGAGATTTAAAAGAACTCCATGCATGACGATGACCCTTGTAGAGAAATTAGACATTATTACCTCCATTTTACAGTAACTGGCTCATGCAGAGTTCTGTGATGGGCACGCAGCGCAGATGGCACCTGTGTGAGAACTGTTCTTCTCTTCTGACCACTGCCTCTCTGTGGCTCTCACTTGCAGGTGGGGTGTGGGCTGGATTTCAGCCTCCCCATTCCCCTGACCTTCAATCAACCCCACTTCTCCTTTAAGGATACACAACATTTCTTATCCCCATGTCACTTCTTGTCTCTTATCTTGAAATTATTAGAGACGCTAAATAAGTCCCATTTAAAACCAGGCATGGTACATGATAGTAATCCCAGCACTTGGAAGGCTGAGGCAGGAGGATCACTGAGACAGTTCATGGCCAACCTTGGCTATAAAGGCCTGTCTCAAAAACTAAAATGAATGAATGAAGTAAATAGAAGCTCTCCATTCTCTGGAGGTTTTTATTCCTTTCTTAGTTGGGCATCAAACTGTCTTTACTAGAATTAGTTTAAACAGCAAGTAATTTTGGAGGGTGAAGGTTTTGCTTTTGTGTTATATATTTGTATGTTCGTGTGTGTGTGTGTGTGTGTGAAAGAGAGAGAGAAATACAGAGAGCATGTGTGGGTGAACATGTGTATGTGAGCATGTGTGTGTTTTAATTATTGTTGTGATTACTTCTAATGTACATTTCCTGGAAAACCTTTATGTTCTAGTAGAAGAAAATAGTATAAAATTGTTATTTTCTATTGCTAATTTTTTTTGAGGCAGAATCTCTCTGTGAAATTCTGGATGTCCTAGAATTCATTATGTAGGACCAGGTTGGCCTCAGACTCAGTGATCTGCCCTCCTCTGCCTCCTGAATGCTGGGATTAGGCTTCTATTGCTGAAATTCAGTCCATAGACAAAAGAATCCGACATGCAGCCATCCTTTGAAAAATGTTCTGGATTTTAGTGGAGCCCTCCAAAATAAACCCGCCATTTAGAATCACAGTTTTATTACTCAGCTTTTAGGTGCAAAAATAGAGCAATCGCTCCTTCAAACGAGAAGGCAGCTGGGACCTAGAAGTAGAGCTCTGCCTAGCTTGTGAAAGGCTCTAGCTGTGACCCTCAGTGCGGGGAAGAAAAACAAAATAAAACAGCCTGAATGAAAATAATTGTGTTTGTCCCTAATCTTCAGTACTGGATCTAAGTCATCTAAGAACCTGACTATACATTTGAATGGCTCCAGTTACGTACCTGAAAGGTGACTTTTCATAAACATTTCATTTGCGTTTCTATTCAGTAACTGCATTTAATAGGTATTTAAGATGGAGCTCTTCCTTCACAATTTAAACATGGAGATTTTTTTTAAGATCCACCTTTATCCAGTCCAACAGTTTCCTCTTTCGTTAAAGGAAAACATCACTGTCAATAGGGCTTTGACATTTTATTTTGAAAACATTAGGATGTGGTTTGTGGCCTCTGTGATTTCTTCTCCATGAATTGTCAGCATCTAATCAAGAATTCAAGCTGTTTAGTAATGGTATATGGTGCGCGAGGGGGGAGGTCATTCTTTCTCATCTTAACTTCAGCTCTGTTGTATAATGAAGAGAATGTTTAATCCAACATGCCTGATCTGTTATTTTAAAGCATTGGTTGACTTTTTTTTTCCTAGACATTTGCCGTTGCTGGATTTGGATCTGGACTCACAGAAGCCATCGTGGTTAACCCTTTTGAGGTGGTAAAAGTTGGTTTGCAGGTCAATAGGAACATGTTCACAGAGGTAACCATTTAGTGTTTTCCTACTATTAGGGAAGTATAAAAAAATTGTGTGTGTATGCATAAATACATAAAATTATGAACCCAGACCTTACGCACTTATAAAGCCACAGCAAAATATCCTTTAAAATGTAGAAGAAAAAGTCAACTACCTTCCACAGAGTGTCAAAAATGCATCAAGATGTGATAAATAGTCATATACATCTTTATTTTAGAGTGTTAATGAAAGTTATAATGACCTGCTGAGGTCTTTCCCCAAATTCCTCTTTCACACTGCATGAAAGCAGCAAACCCACGGAGGTGATGGCGTTATTGTGCTTTGTAAAGATGAAGTCATTTTTTTTTTAAATTACCTCACTCCTTTCCCTGCTCCACCCATCACTTTCCCGAACAGTTTCTGATAATCTGTCAAAGCTGTCTTTGGGTTACATCTGAATGGGCAAGCTCTGAAGCCTGTGTAGTAGACATCACCACCCGAACACAGCGAGTCTTGACATCTGATCACTGATACACAATGCCCCGCATAGACAGTTCTTCTTGGTGTGTGCCGCCTTCACTTCCTGCTAGCCGCTTAATCATTCCCTTTACACTGCCAAATCCAACTGTTCCCACTCTATTCTTTTGGATTCTAAACACAAGGCATGGGGAAAACAAGGGGATTAACACTCCAGGTCCTTTCCTGGTGTTTTAAGTCCGTAAGTGGGTAGCATGTGGTGTAAATTGGACTGGGGTATCTGCTGACGTGATTTTTTTTTCTACAGAAAAAACAAAACAAAACACCCTTGCCTACTGCTTAAGCAGCTGGTAATGGGTGGAGAACCTTTTCCTCAGCCCACTTCCTGCCTGCTGATATTACCTGAGAGTTCTCTGACAGCTTCTTGGGCAGGAGTTTGGGAGAAAGGGGGCCCTACTCACCTGTTATTGCCAAGACTTGGAGTAGGGGAGATTGGAGAAGGGTAGGGCTGCTGTAACAGATGGTATCTACTCAGATGAACTCAAGCTAATTTAAAGAGGTTTGCTTTTGTTTGCTTGCTTGTTTGTTTCAAAAGGTTTCTGAACATCAGAAAGAGCTGTAAAATCTCTGTGTAGCCCTAGATTTTGTTGTTGTTGTTGTTTATGTTTTGTCATATTTTGTTTATGTCTTTCTAGCTTATGAGAAAATGAAGGTGAGGAGCAGGGACAGAAAAGAAGCAGAGAGGTGCTTTTCAAATGCCCCCATCAACATGCAGTATTGAAAACAGTTGCCATGAATTCTGCCGAAGAAAAATTAGCTTATTAGAGTAGGAAAATTGCCAGCAGGAAGAAAGTTTTGGAGATCACTACTCAATGCTTCCTTTTTGCCCATGGGGAAGCTTGTCTTAGAGTAGCAGTGGGAAGCCAAGGAACAAACAGGTCTTTAGCTGCAGGTCTTTGTCCTGGCGCATGTGACTAAAGAAACAAGGATGGGACAGAGCACCAAGGAACACGCACTGGAATCAAAACGAGGAGTGCTCACAGCACTCTGTTTATTCTTGCTGCTCGTTTTTTCTCGTTTATTTATTTTATACACTCTACATCCTGTAGCCTCCTTTCTCCTCCCCTCCCAGTCCCACTTTCTCTCCCTCCTTTCTCCCCCCTCACCTTTTCCTCAGAAGAGGGGACCTCCCTTTCCCATCCACCCCAGCTCATCAAGATGCATCAGGACTGAGCATGTCCTGTTCCCCTGTGGCCTGGCAAGGCAGTCCCACCAGGGGAACGAGGTTAAAAAGCTGACCAGTAAAACCTTGTCGCATGCAGTCCCTACATCCCTTACTAGAGGACACACTTGAAGTCTACATCTAGGTCTAGTTCATGCATGGTCTTTGGTTGATGCTTCAGTCTCAACAAAACCCTCTGGGCCCTGGTTAGTTGGCTCTGTTGTTGTTTCTGTGGCGCTCCCGTCACTTCCTGTCCTTTTCTCTTTCCTCCCATTATCCCCCAAGACTCCCTAAACATTGACCAATGTTTGGCGGTGAGTCTCAGCATCTGTTTTGAGGAGCTTCTTGGTAGAGCCTCTCAGAACACAACTCTTAACAGGCTCCTGTCTGCAAGCTTAGCAGAATATCCCTCATAGTGTCAGGGGCTGGCACTCTCTGATAGGGTGGGTCTTTGGTTGAGCCAGGCATCGGTTGGGCATTCCTTCAAGCTCTGCTCTATCTGCTCTATCTTTATCCCTGCACATCGTGTAAGCAGGGTAAATTTTGGGTCGAAGTTTTTGTGGGTGAGTTGGTGTTCCCCACCCTTTGCTAGAAGATTGGTCTAGTTAGAGGGTGTCTCTATGATCTCTGACTCTAGGAGTCTCTGCTTGAATCCCCCTTATATCCTCCCAGGGGCCTATGCTGACTTAGGTCTCCAGCTTGTCACAGAGATGTCCCCACCCCCACAGTTTCTCTTTTCTCTGCAGGCCTTCTGTTCTCTTACTCTTGCTTTCCTCCAGACTGATCTCCACCCCCTTAACATTCTGTGCCCCCTCTCCTACCTTGTTCTCACTCTTCATCCATTATCTCTGTCTATTTTATCTCCTTTCCCAACTGAGATTTATGCATCCTCCCTTGGGTCCTCCATGTTACTTATCTTCTTTGGGTCTATGCCTCATAGTATGCTTATCCTGTACTATATGCCTAAAATCCCCTTCAGAGTGAATACATACCACGTGTGTCTTTCTGAGTCTGGCTTACCTCACTCAGGATGATCTTTTCCAGTTCCCACTATTTGCCTGCAAATTTCATGATTTCCTCTTTTTTGATTGCTGAGTAGTATTCCATTGTGTAAATGTACAATTTCTGTATCCATTCCTCTGTTGAGGGACACCTGAGTTGTTTACAGATTCTGGCTATTACAAATAAAGCTGCTATGAACATGGTTGAGCAAATGCCCTTGTTGTATGGCAGTGCATCCTTTGGGTATATACCCAGGAGTGGTTTAGCTGGATCCTGAGGAAGCACTCTTCCTAATTGTCTGAGAAAGCACCAGATTGATTTCCAAAGTGGTTGTATAAGTTTACACTCCCATTAGCAATGCAGGAGAGTTCTCCTTTCTCCACATTCTCTCTAACATATGTTGTCATTTGAGATTTTGATCTTGGCCATTCTGACAGGTGTAAGATGGACTCTCAGGGTTGTTTTGATTTGCATTTCCCTGATGATTAAGGAAGTTGAACATTTCTGTAAGTGTTTCTCTGCCTTTTGAGATTCCTCTGGTGAGAATTCTCTGTTTAGCTCTGTTTCCCATTATTAATTGGGTTATTTGATTTGTTGGTGTTTGATTTCTTGAGTTTATTATATATTTTGGATATTAGCCCTCTGTCAGATGTAGGGTTGGTGAAGATCTTTTCCCAATCTGTAGATTGTCTTTTCATTCTGTTGTCAGTGTCCTTTGCCTTACAGAGGCTTTTCAGTTTCATGAGGTCCCATTTATTAATTGTTGATCTTAGAGCCTGAGCTGTTGGTGTTCTGCTCAGGAACTGTAAGACTTCCTGTTGCATATGCCAGTGCTTTGCTAGAGCATGATAAACACCATGCCCATTCAACACAAAACTTTCTACATATACTCCTTTTGCACAAGTGTGATCTCTATAAACTGTTTATACATTTCTGTTGCTTTTTTAACTGAGGGATAGAGGGAACTTGCTCAGAGTAATTTATTTTGCAAAATTCACTAAACTGAAACTTGTCTCATATTTGCTTAGATTAAAATTTATTTGCTATATTTATAAAATATTTAATAAATGTCAACAAATCAGAATTTAGAAAAAGAATGGCCGTGTGTGTGTGTGTGTGTGTGTGTGTGTGTGTGTGTGTATACCAGCATTTAGAGTAGCTCCCTGTGGCTGAACTAAGGTTTGATTTTGATGTGGTACTTTTTAGGCAGGATAAGACAAACTGAAAAAGTCCTTAGCAGTGAGTGGCAACCAAACACATAATAACTGGGCTATGCCTATTGTTATAACTGAATGAAGCCTTCTAGAAGCCATCAGCTGTCCATAGGTCCTCAATTAGAGGTCAGGGTTCAGAAACCTCCTCCTCTTCCATGCTAGAAAGGTGACTGGATTGATCCTATGCAGAGCTTGTGCAAGCAACCACAGCTGCTGTGAGTTCATGAGTGTGACAGTCCTGTCGTGTCCAGAAGACAGTTTTGTGCCTGCCCTCCCAGACCTCTGGCTCTTAAAATAATTCTTTCCTGTCTTCCACAATGGTGCCTGAGCCTTGAGAGGCAATGTAATACAGATGTCTTTTTTGTGGCTAAGCATTCCACTGGGAATTATGCTTTGAGCTTCCACCAGCTCTGAGTTTCTTCATTAGCCACAGGCTACAAAAAGATGCTTTTCTGATGAAGTCTGAGAGCTCCATTCTACAAATAGGAGTGGCTTCTCCCCTTGGACCAGTGAGCTGCCCAACCATAGGTTCTTAGCCAGATTTACAGTTACAGGTATGGGTTTACTCCTGTGGCATAGGCCTTAAATCCGATCGGAAAGTGATTGGTTACCTCCGTAATATTTATGCCACTGTATTTTAAAAATATTAATTGACCACTTGTGGCTTTTTGAGCACACTGTTCATCTCACCATTTCATCCTGGCTACTGACTGTCAGGTTATTTTTTAATTTGGTGTTTAATTTTATAGTTTTTTTAAAATATATCCTAGCTATTATTCTATATAAAATATAGTTAGAAAAGATTTTTTTTTATTCCATCCTTTAGACTGTCTGTTCTCTGCTGACAGCTTTTTTCACTATGCAGAAGCCTCTAGTTTCATGTGTTCCCTTTCATTGTTTCTTGGAACTATTTTCTGTTTTGAGAGTTTTATGCAGAGAGTTCTTGCTTGAATGTACCTACATAACTTCAGGGGTGTTCCCTGCATTTTCCTATAGTGGTTTCAAAGTTTGAAGTTATAAATTAAACTTTTTGTTTTAAAACATTTTTGTTTTATTTTATGTGTATACGGGCATTGCCTGCATGAGTTTCAGGGGAGGAGCGCATTTCAGGG